TCGACATCAATTTATCTATTATATTTAACTAAATATACTTTACAAGATTGCTAATTACCGATAGGACGCATCTTATTTGCACCGAAATGTTCATAGAGACTGTTTTGCATTATTGTTATGATATCGAATCGATCGATCGATGTTTGACCCTTGGCGCGCACTCTGAGAACTAGGCCTGGCCTACCGTCGCTAATAAAAAAACTGCCCATGTAGGAGCATAGCATTTGATCTGGATCTGTTAACATTTCTATTCTTCTCTGTCTGTTACTTGCATCTGCGAAAACAATGCGACTCGCGTTCGTGAAATTCGATGGTGCTCTGTACATCGCGTTCACAATGAGCTGCAAGAACAGTTGTGTTTTTGAGAAATAGAGACATTGCAATAGAATTGGAGCAAGTGTACATTATAAGAGCATTATTAACAAAATTATCTGAATAGTAATAAATAAATAGAATTAAAACAACGATAAAGTAACAGTAAATTAGTTTATAAAATGCGTAGTTTATCATACAGTTTAATATCTTTTGTCGTCTTGTTAGTATAATAATATCATATTAATATTATCCCTTTTGTGCATGAAAGTATCGATAATATACGTACATGTCCATTATAAAGCATGTATGGCTTTGCAGCATAACCATTTCCGAAAATGAAGGAATCGAAGTAGGCAGATGATAGTAATTCTTGAACTTTCCAGGTCAGAATGCCATAGTCATTGTGCGACACAACGTTTTCGGGACCACCGATTTCCATCAACGATGAGTTGCCATTTATTCCTGTAAATTTTTAAGGATATTAAGGATATTACTTTTAAAGAGAAATTAGGAGCTCATTCAACTTTTTACCTACTCCTGCAAGATTGTATGGTTGTCTGGTTAAACAAGGGCACGCAGCTATATCGACCTTCACCTCGCGGAACTCTTTTGCCATTCCGTCTTGCAGAGCTATTATTACATAATGATAGATGTAACAAATATAATGTGTTTGCTAAATTAGTACACGTTGTATATACACATCTTGTGCGATTTCTGAGAGGGTGGGTACTTTTAAATTAAATATTGCAAGTGAAGATCTGTTCAAATCCATGTAATGTTAAATTTGATTTAATCCCAAGACAATTAAACAGCTATTGAAGGTACACATAACGATGTACAAATTGTTATTTTGTAAGAGTATTATTAATCTGGATCTAAAGTTAGATCTAAAAAGAAATTATTAAAATTAATGAAAAAAAAGGATTAATGATGTCATTTAGAATAATATATAATAATAAAAATGACTGTTATATTATGTAACATGTATAATGTATGGTTCTTAATAGGCTGATATTAATGAAACAAAAACTTGCATTTAAACATTAATTAAATATTATTAAATAGTAATAATATATTGTACATGCATGTGTACCTACCTACTAAATACGTCGCAAAGGATTGCAGGATTGAAGACTATTTAATTTTTTATTGTTAGTTAGGCTCACCGTTATAGGCACGTCACTTCTTCCTTGTCGTTACGAATACGAAAATTGGTATGAAAGATTTTAGAGCTGTTTCGTCGCAAATATAACAGAAAGCAATATAGGAAAACAATTAAAGATTTATAACGGTCTTATAAGAAAGTCAGTATAATAATAAACATAATTTTATGAAGTCGTTAACAGCTTTGAAGTTCACAGGTCAACGGAAATTTAATATGCATAATTATCTTTAATACAAAAAGTTAATATTTTTTGCAATAAGTTATTTTCACAGGATTTAATAGAGGCTATACGAGCATCGATTTATTAGATTGTGATAATTTAATTGTGATATTACGTTACACTATTCGATTTTGAGCTGCGTTGAAAGTCTGACGATTATGCGGCGCGCGGTTTATTTGAACCGAGAATTGTAATAGATTCACACATTAGAATATTATATCGAGCACCAAGATCCGCTTTGACCGTTGTTGGCGTTTTCCGATCTTCATTGTTTGTAACATTCACGGTCTTGATATTCAGTTATAAAAAGTTAATTCGGAAATGTCATGTGGAATTTCATCTGTTTATAATCTAACGATGTCTTAAAATATACTCATAAAATTTAAGGTGTTTTATTATCAGCTTGAGATCCTTTTTTATTTTATTTATTTATGTTATTTAATGCCGTATTATTTTTACAACTGGATATTATTGCGGTCTTACTTGCTTTGCGCGATATAAAAAGTCTGTAGTCACAGAAAATGAATTGCGTAATATTATAACATAAAAGAAAAGTAAATAATTATGTTAAATGCAGTTGTTAAACTGTATTGCAATATTTTTAAAGAATATAAATTTTGTAAATTAATAATTAGGCAAATCAATAACAAAGTAATATATTTATATATAATACACATACACACACACATATATATATATAGGTTATATTTTCATATTTATTAGAACAAAGACATTTTTATTGAATTCAAAGACATAAAAATAAAATTAGTGTTTTTTAAATTAAAGTTTTTATTAAATTGAGATGATTTAATGAAATACAATAGATTTCATTAAGATTTAACATTGATTAAATTATTTCAACTGCACTTTTTTCAATGATGAAAGCACTTTAAGAATTATCAAAATTTTATCACGTCGATATTAAATGCAATGCGTAGCTTGTGCATAAATAATAAGATTAATATAAAAATATCGAGCATGGAATATAACTTGAAAAATACATACTTACTTTTTTCGCGGAAAATCGTTATGATAATATTGCAATAAATCAAGTTTGATTTATGATAATTTCATCCAAAACTCTTTGAGATAGTATGACGATTTAAATAAAAAAATGCTTAAATAAAAGTTAACTAATCTAATACAGAGTTATATCTATTATATGATATGAATCCCAGATAGCACGTATTTGTTTTAGAAACGTTTCATAACTGACGCTTGAAAACGTTTCTGAGTGATTAAAATGTTCACTCAAAAAACGTTTAAAAAAATGTAGAGAAATATAATTGAAATATCATTTTTCCTCTATCTGTGAAAAAGTTTACGCATTCGTTCTTTTCAAGCAAACTTTTTCAGAGATAGAGGAAAAATGATATTTCAATTATACTTCTCTACGTTTTATTTTTTATCAAAACAGAAACGTTTTTTTAAATGTTTTTTTAGTGGACATTTTAACCACTCAGAAACGTTTTCAAAGCGCTATCTGGGAATATAACTGTAACAGTTTTAATATTCGTTTTATTATTACAGAAAGCGTTTAAACATTTATCTGATCAAAGAATTATGTCATGAGTCTACGATCAATGAAATTTTTTAAGATTTTTGTTCAGATAAATAATCGAAATTCGCTATTAGTGTACGTTGATTTATATTGCAATGAAAATTAAAAATATTTATCAAAATATGTAATATGAGAACGCCAATACGATCTAAATTGGATCTTGTTAAAATTATATTTTCTATGTGAATCTTATATAATTTTTCAGTTGACAAACTGCGCATCGAACACAACTAATCGGTCTTGCAACATAGGTCTTAATTAAATCCGAAGTATGAATAGTATTTATACGTATATTTATTTATATGTATATTGTGCATTCGTATTTACAAAAGAATTTGTGAATGAAATGTTGAAGAAAATGTTTTACTCAATATACTTATTTCAGATCTTTTCATATGAATGAATAACATCCAGTCATCATTTATTTCATCAGGAATGTGCAATTTGTATCTTACAATCGATAATTGTAAAAGTTAGGTGATGGACAAAAAAATACCAAAATACAATATATAAGCAGATAGACAAAGAAAATAAGACATCTAAAAAATGAGTAATTTAAATTATATATTTTTTTAATGTAATTCTTATAATTAACGTAAAATAAATTCTGAAGGCTATTTTACAATTCCAAAGAAAAATGTTTTCTATGCAAATTTTGATCCAGTAAATAAAAAATTCTTTCAATTTGCATTTAGTCTTAATTATGAAGGATAAGTGTTGCAATTTTTAGAATTCTAACGCTACGAAACACTGCCATAAAAACTTCTGTTCAATGTGGAAAACAGAAGCTATTAAGTATGTTAATTGTTTGTAACAAAAGATATAACAATTAATTACAAGTTATAATATATATATATATATATATATATATACATAATTAAATATCATAAATTATTAAAGTATATTATATATAATAAAAGATATAATAATTAGTTACATAATAATATATGTGCATAATTATGTATAATAAAATATATACGGGAGTATCTTAAATAGCGCCCATTAATTATATAGCGTTATTCCCTTGTAAAACAACGAAGTTGTAAAGTCCTTAACTATTTTTTTTACAATACACAATAAAGCTATATAATTACTGAAATAGTGATTGCTTCATTGTGCATGTAAAACAATTTAGGACTTTTCAATTCGGTTTTAAGGAAAAATACTGCGTAATTAGTGGGCGCTATTTAACATACACTATGTATATATGCACAAATAACATATATATATATATATATATATATATATATATATATTTAATTATATATATTATACATACAATACTTCTAAAGAAATGGTGTTTGTAGCGCTAAGATAAGACGTTACACATGTATATTAATGATATATATTTCATTACTTCTTACATTAACATTTTTCATCATGTAATTATTTTACCTATTTCAGAATTTTGGATGTGTACTACAAGAATTCTTGTTGAAAAATATTAGGGGATTCAAATCGCTCTCGTTTAAAATAATTATTTATGATAAATTTTGTTTCAGGAAAACGTGGTAAAATTCTATACTTTTAAATACATATTTTTGGCATTTAATAGAATATTTTTCGAACATTAGGACATATAAACTTTTAATAATTATATCAAAAACGTGTTAAAAAACTTATAAAACATAATCTGATACCGTATCATAAACTGATATCTTTGTTATAATGATATGCTAGACAGTACAGTCTACGAGAATAATTTTTCTCTAAATTGAAGTAATTTTCATATTCTGTCATATCAGGAGTAGTGTCGCCAATAAACTGCCCGCTTGCTCCATAATCGGAGAAACTATGGAATTGATGACGTCTCATTCACAAATGCTGAAAAAAATATATTTTATAATGTTGAAGCTTTGAGACATAAATACAATTTTTTGCAATTAATGCTTTATTTCTATACCAACGTAGATTAACTTTAATCCAGGATTAACTTACTCTGTATCTTTTTCTACTTTTAAGGATTGGAAAAAGATAAAAAGTAAATAAAACCATGATTAAAGTTAATCTACATTGGTAGAAATGGACATTAGTAAATAAAATTTACATTCTAAAAAAATTACTTAGTAAGTAAAACATTATTTAGTAAACAGTTTAAAATAATAAAGAAAGATTTGTTGCTTTAATTTAATTTAATAATCACAAATGCAAATTTTACAAAAGTGAATAGACATACATAATTGTATTAATTGATTAAAAAAATTAAATTTTTAACAACACTTATCTACTAATAAATGATATAGTGCAGTAATTTGAAGATCAGAGTGATTTCTAGTATTTATACAATTATAATAAATAACGTACAATGCTGTAACGTTCCATATCCAATAAATGTGGATTGTTACTAGTTAATGTACCAACAGCTATCAAATCAGATTCCAGCTCGTGACACTGAAACCATTTAAATAGGTCGCAAAATGATCCAACCACTTGTGGATACTCTTCCGGCATAATGTGATGCGCCACTCGTCTATTTCTCATTCTAAGAACACCGCCTAGGGCTGCGAGACAAGATGTATTGAAAATTATTCTATCTATTTATCTATTTCTATAACTGAATATGTTTTACAAGATTACTAATTATCAACAAGACAATTCTGTTTTATAAAAAAATGTCTGTAGAGAATGTTTTCCATTATTGTTGTGATATCGAATTTGGATTTTCGTCCCTTGGCGCGCACTCTGAGAACATTGCCTGGTTTGCCCTCGCTGGCAAAAAAACTGCCTAGAAAGGAGCACACCATTTGGTCAGGATCAGTTAGCATTTCTATCCTTGTTTGTCCGTTATTTGCGTCTGCAAAAACGATGCGACTCGCGTTCGTGATATTCGCAAGTGCTCTGTACATCGCGTTCATAATAAGCTACAAGAGTAGTCACATTCATGAAATAGAGAATGTGATATTAGCATAATTAGAGCAAGTTTAGGGGAGACCGGGGCCGGTTGTCGTACGGGGTTGGTTGTCAAAATGCTTATAACTTAATTAGTACATAGCAGAAAAATCTCTTTTTTAATTGTAGATTGCTAATATAATATTAATTTGTTGTGTAAAATGATTTGCACCAAAAACATTGTATATATTATTTACAACGACTTTTATGAAAATGAAATCAATAAGTAAATTTTTCTTATCTCCTATTATGCTGTCTGATAAGTTTGTGGCATTATCAATCGCGATTGCCCTGTAATCATAGAAAATGGCATGTCTTAAAAAATTTTTGCTGCAGTTAAATAATCATTATTCTGACAAAGCTTGTAAATATAATTTCTTTTATTAAAAATGGCCATGTGGATTGACCCAAATAAGCCAGGATTGGTTGTCACGTCGGTGATTTCATGTCAGATGCGGCTCGGTCAAAACGGAAGAATTTACTCATACGAATTAAATAAGAATCAATCAGCGCAGCGCTAGTTACACACAGACATAGCTTCTCCATCCCCTATACTTTCTTTTCGACTAGGAAGCGTCTGATTACTGGGATAAGTGAATTCTATTGTTTAGAGGTTAATTGAGGTTAAGTGAGTTAAAATTATGGCATGAAAACAAAAAAGGAAGACGAATAGGAGCAAAACTCCGCCTAATACTGTTTTAAAACCAACTCTGGAACATGTGACAATCAACTCCGGGTTTGGAATTGATTGTCACATTTTCACAGTTTTACTTAAAATTGAGTAACTTATTTGTACGATAACATATTTCAAAATAATATATTTTTTTTAATAACTAAGGGATATAGATATATTTTGATGTACATAATATTTCAAAATCTTGCATCTACTTTTTTCTAAAAATCACTAATAAAAAAACCAGCCCCGGTCTCCCCTTTATGATAAAAGTACTACAAAAACTCAATAAAATTAACCGAATGGTAACAAATAAATAGAATTAAAATAACAATAAAATAACAATATATGAGTTAACTGAATAAAATGCACAGTTTGTTGCATTAGCTATTTACTATTTTTCGCGTTATCCTGTTAGTATAACAGTATCGTAATAGAATTTTCATTTTTTTTGCACAGAAAATATCGATAATACATACATGTCCGTTACATGGCATATATGATTTTGAAGTATAACCACTTCCGATAATGAAAGTATCAGAGCAGGTGGATGATAGTAATTCTTCAATTTCCCACCATGCGATGTCATGCAACGGGTTTGGCATAAAGTACGTATAACCACCGACTTCTATTAGTGATGGGTTGCCGCATAATCCTATAGATTTAAAAAAATATTTTATTTTTAATTAAATTGAGGGCTTTACCTTCGATTTCTTACCTACTCCTGCAAGACTGAATGGGTGGCTGCATGGTTAGACACGGGCAGGCAGCTATGTCGACCTTCACATCGTGGAACGCGTGTTCCATTCCATCTTGCAGAACTATTATCACATGATGACAGATGCAGCAAATATAATATGTCTATTAAATTAAATTATAAACATACTGTATATATACCTTGTCTGATACGTGAGAGACTAGGTACTTCCAAATCAATCGTGGGATATAAAGGAATGCTAGTCGAATAGCGATAACCATTCATCGAATAATTATTATCCATAATCAATTTAGGAAACTTAATTGCATGATTATCAAAAACTATTGAAGGTACAAGTAACAATTTACAAATTTTGATATCATAAGGTTTCCAATGTTGAATCTAAAAACGATTCATTAAAATTAATAAAAAGGAGATTATTGATGCTATTTGGAATAATATGAAGTAAGAAAAATTATTGCATGTTATATTATGATAAATGATTGCATGTAATATTTATGATGCGTATAGTGTGTGTAATAGTCTATTAAAAATAATATACTTGCCCAAGTTGTTATGTGGAGCATTCACTGAACCTTGAGCAAATTTTAAGATATCCTTAATCCATCTCTTAATCCAGCGCGAAAAATTTGTGATTTAATTCTTTAGAAACTGTGTCTAAATAGTGTATGCTGATATTATTGAAACAAAAACTAGGTTTACATTTAAACATTGATTAAATATTATTAAATAATAATATATATTATGTGTATGCACGTGTGTACAATACGTATATGCGCGCGCGCGCGTGTAGAAAGAATCTTTTATATAACTTTATATTTCTTTTATTTATTAAAACGAAGAAGCTTTTATTGAAGACGTTAAAATAAAACTAATTTTATTGAAACAATTTAATGATATACGGTACTTTTTATTAAGATTTGACGTTGCGGTTAAGTTATTTCGTCAATTCTGCCATAGTATTTTATGTCATTTTTCAATGATAATAAAGAATTTTAAGAATTTATCACGATATTAAATGCAATACGTAGTTAGACTGTACATAAATGACAAGATAATATAACAATATCGAACATGGAGTATAACATAAAGAATTCGTGCTTATTTATTCGTGAAAAATCGTTAAAACATTGAAATATATCAAGTTTGATTTATAATAATGTCATCGAACTCTTTAAGATAGTGTGACCACTTAAATAAAATGTGCTTAAATATAGAATTTAACTGATCTAGCAAATTTATACATATAAAATAATACGAATATAATTATAATCATTATTTTGTCCGTTTTATTATTACGGAAATTAAATAATTATCTGATCAAGGAATTATGTCATTCGTTAACGATGAATGAAGTTCCTTAAATATATATCTTGGTTAAATATAAATAGTCGAAATTCACAAATAGAGTATGTTGATTAGAATGAAAATAAAAATAAGAAATATATAATATTTTACCGAAATTGTGAGAAATTTTCTTACGTACATTTTGCATTATGGCATTTCAATTGATAAATCGAAATATCCATAATTTCAAAAAGAAGAAGTGAAGATAAACTTTACAAAGACATAGACAAGTGTTTCAAAATAACTTGCAATATTTATTGTACAATTTGTTTTACGAGTAATTATAATAAAATTAAAATGGATTAAATCCGTTAAATTGTAAGATGATAAGGTATTATGTTCAATGATTGCAAAGATACGATTGTATAAAGCTGGGTAATACTAAATGGATATGAATATTTAAGTGTATACTTATACAAATATATGTGTCGTATACAAATATAAAAGTGCACATACATTTGTAATAATTTAAAAACTGAAAAATGATAATAATAACGCACAGAGTAACATTATTATTTGAACATTATGAAAGGCAGATTTATTATAAGATTATATGTATGTTATGCGTACATATATTTATTGTGCATGCAGACCTTTTTACAAAAGAATTTATTAATATAATTATACGCTTTAAACCAAGCTTGATCAAAAATATAGAAAAAAATATTTTGTTTTATATTATTATTTCAGACTTTTTCATATTAATGAATGAAGGGAGTCATTTAATTTAACATAGAGGTTGTTTTTACAATCAAGAATAATAAAAAGTGATAAATCAAAAGGTGCTATATGATTAAAAATACGTAACGTTAAAAAAATATAATATACAAGAAGGTAGACAAATTAAATAAAATCATATTTCTATAAAATCATGTCTCTATAAAACGTGATTTAAATTATACAATATTTTTTTAGATAATTTGTAGTTAATGGTAAGAAAACTGAAAAGATTTAAAATTTCAAAAAAGTATCTCCTATGTAAATATTTGGTATAAAAAATTTCGATCGGATAAACAAAAAATTATTTCACTCGTGTTTAGTTTTGATTAACAAAACACATAATTTTTAGAATTCTTAGAATCTGAACGCTATTAAACATTGTAAAGAAAATATCAGAAATATGGAAACAAAATCTATTAAAGTACATAAATTATGTACAATACAAAGATTATATAAAGAGGATATAAATATATTTAATAAAAAAATCGAAAAAGTTAAAGGATTCAACTCGCTCTTATACTCGAAGTAATTGAATTATGATCAATTTTGTTTCAGGAAAAATCGTGTAACAAGATTTTATGTTATTAAATCCCTATTTTTAGCATTTAATTGTTAAAACGTTCCTCGATCAATATTAAAACTTCTAAACTTTCATTAATTACATTAAAAATATGTATTAAAAAACTTATAAATACATTTTTGTTTACATATGAAAGCACATAATAAATCAGTTTTATATTAAGAATAAAAAGGCTTCAAGGGACAATATCTGCGATGATATATTTTTTCGCTAAATTAAAGTAACCTTCATATTCCGTTTCATCAGGAGTAGTGTCGCCAATAAACTCCCCGCTTGCTGCATAATCGGAGATAAAATGGAACTGATTACGTCTCTTCCACAAAGGCTAAAAAACATAATAAATATTCATATTTTATAATGTTAAGACTTAGATATAGCTATTGCAATAATTAACGTTTTAATAATATAGTACATACAAATTAATTTCGTTAATAAAATTTATAATATAAAAATATAATTTAGGAAATACAACAAAATTAGTAAATATAGTTTAAAGTAATGAAGAAAAAGCTTTGTTACTCTTTAATTTCATTTAATAATCATAAATGTAAATTTTGTCAGAAATAGATTGACGTAAATAATTGCGTTAATTAATAAAATGAAAACTTAAATTTCAGACATTTATCTACTAGAAGATATAATGCAGTAATATTAAAATCAGTGATTTCTAATATCTGCATAACTAATGCAATAAATAACATACAAGACTGTAACGTTGTTCCGTGTACATTAAATCTGGTTTTCTGTTAGTTAATATGCCAACCGCTGCCACTTCTGTTTTCAGCTTCATCTCATGATATTGAAACCACTTGTTATTGAAGTCACTGAATTCATGAATTTGGTTATTCCTTTGCGGATATTCTTCCGACATAAGGCTATACACTGCTCGTCCATTCCACATTCTAAGAACACCACCTAAGACTGCGAGATGAGACATAAAGAATTATTCGACGTCAATTTATCTATTTCTATATTTAATTGAATATACTTTACAAGACTGCTAATTACCAATAGGGTGTTTCTCATTTACACCGAAATGTTCGTAGAGACTGTTTTGCATTATTGTTATGATATCTAAATCGGTCGATATTCGATCCTTGGCGCGCACTCTAAGAACCAGGCCTGGCCTGCCGTCGCTAATAAAAAAACTGCCCATGTAGGAGCACAGCATTTGATTAGGGTCTGTTAACATTTCTATTCTTTTCTGTCCGTTACTTGCTTCTGCGAAAACGATGCGACTCGCGTTCGTGAAATTCGATGGTGCTCTATACGTCGCGTTTATAATGAGCTACAAAAACAGTTTATTTTTTGAAAAGTAGAGAGTTGCGATAGGATTAGAGCAAGTGTACATTATAAGAGCATTAATTAATAAACTTATCCGAATAGTAATAAATAAATAGAATTAAGGATGTTTGGAATGTACAATATCAGCTAAAAGCTTTCAAAATTTAAAATTTACAGATTTCTTAGGTTCGTATCGTCTAAAAATAAAATAAATAACTTTACATTACATAAGAAGTTAAATTTTCGTGAAATAACATGATTTTCATGTCTTCAAGAATATAAATATTTATAATTAATATTTTTCTTAATTAACGATAAAAAATGTTGGTCGTGAATATACCCTACAATCAACTGTAAGAAACGAAATAATGAATAATTTATAAGATGATTATCGGTCATTACAAGCAATGATTAATTTACATATACATTTAATATTGAAAAAATAAGTTACATATATTTAATTAATAATTTAAGAACAAAATACATGTCTAAAATATATTATTATAAAATATGACAATATCGCATTATTTTCTACGTTGGCATTACCATTTACCAAGTTTTAAGTGTAGGAAGTGCTTCGAGTATAATGTGCTTTGAATCTCGTGAATCTTCTAAAATGTCGAAAAATAATAAATATCGTTGAAAAGAGAAATGAATATTACATGAAAATAACTATTTACGTTGCCAAAAATTAAAAAGTATCGATAATAACATCTCCTATTCAAATGACAGATGTCACAAAAATGTTTACTGTGAATATTGTCAAGTCGCATAGATGAAATGGTTTATGCAGTGTAATATCCGTATTTTGCTGCAGTTTTATTTAAATAACTTTTAAACAAATAAGTGGATCCAAGTTAACTTTTGCACAAATATTTATTAGAGTTACATTAGTATATATAAAAAATTTGATTTAATTCCTAATGCTACTTCCTTATCAAATTTGCAAATAAGTACTTCGCGATTTTATATAAGAATCAAGAGTAAATAAAAAATTAAATAATTTTTAAACCAATAAGAGAATCGTGCTCAAATTTTGCACAGTTGCTGATCAGACGTATTAATAAAACAATCTGTAAAATTTTTATGTTTTTCGTAAGGTTTTGAGATACATCCTTAAAACAACGATAAAGTAACAGTAAATTAGTTTACAAAACGCGTAGTTTATCGCACAGTTTAATAATCTTTTGTTGTCTTGTTAGTGTAATAATATCATATTAATATTATCATCCCTGTTGCGCGTGAAATTATCGATAATACTTACATGTCCATTATAAGGCATGTTTGGCTTTGCAGCATAACCACTTCCAAAAATAAAGGAATCGAAGAAGCCAGATGCTAGCATATTTTGAACTTTCCAGGTTGGAGTGTCATAGTCATAGTTCGACACAAAGTTTGCGTGACCACCGATTTCCAACAACGATGGGTTGCCGCTTAATCCTGTAAATTTTTAATGATATTAAGAGTATTACTTTTAAAGAAGAATTAGGTGATTTGATTTCTTACCTACTCCTGCAAGATTGTATGGTTGTCTGGTTAAACAAGGGCAGGCAGCTATGTCGACTTTCACCTCGCGGAACTTTTTTGCCATTCCGTCTTGCAGAACTATTATCACATAACATAGATGTAACAAATATAATGAGTTTGATAAATTAGTGCACGTTGTATACTCACCTTGTGCGATTTGTGAGAGGGGGAGAACCTTTGTACTAAGTGTCGTTAAAGATAAGTTGTTTATCAAATCCATAATGTTAAATTTATGGAATTTAATCACAAGGCAATTAAATAGCTATTGAAGGTACACGTAACAATTTCCAAATTATTATTTTATAAGAGTATTGTTAATGTTGGATCTAAAACAAAATTATTAAAAGTAATGAAAAAAAAATTATTGATATCATTTAGAATAATATAAAAATGATTGCTATATTATGTAACATGTATAATGGGTTTACTGTGTGTTGTAATAGTTTATTAAAAATAATTCATCTAGCCGAGCTGTTATGTGAAGCATTAACTGATAAATGTGAAATAGTATACTGAGAGGAGGGGGGGAGAGAGAGAGAGAGAGAGAGAGAGAGAGAGAGAGAGAGAGAGAGAGAGAGAGAGAGAGAGAGAGAGAGAGA